ATAAGAGACAGTATATATATATATATATATATATATATATAAAATGTGTGTGTGGGTGTGTGTGTGTGTGTGTTTTCAGGTCATGTGATGATTTAGACCCTTCATTTGTAATAGTCCGTCCCTGCCCTTCGCCACTACCGCAGCAAGTAGTAGTATTAGTAGTAGTAGTAGCTGCAGTACTGTCTTAGTAGTAGTAGTAGTAGTAGTAGTAGCTGTGCTATTAGTATTAGCTGCAGTATTGTAGTACAGTAGTAGTAGGTGCAGTACTGTATTAGTAGTAGTAGTAGTGGTATACATATTATGTTTTTTTTTTATTTATGCAGTCTCTGGAACATAACAAATCCGTCGTCAGGTCTTTATCTCTATACTGTGGCAGCATCTTTATGCGATGACATCTCCTTGTATGGTTTCTATCCGTTTTACACATCATCGGACGGTACGCAATTAAAACATCATTACTATGAAAACAGATCAATGGACTACGCAAAATCACATCGCATGCCGGAAGAATTCAAATTGTTCACAGTTTTACATAAATTTGGGTTTATTCGATTGGTTTTAGACAGATGTTCACAAGATAGTAGGAGATTGTAAGTCTCAGCTAAAATATCTTGAATATAAAACAAATAATAATGTTGTATACAATTCTATAATGTTTATCTGTGATGAATGAAACTACTATAATAATTATTGTAATTAATAAATGTTCAAATAGTGGAAAAGTGGTACTCATACTTTCGAAATATCAAACGTTATTCTGATTGTTGACTGATACCAAGTAAATGTATTTTCCATTGTTCTGAGAGTGCTTTATTTTGGGTTTGAGGGCGGTCAAGCGGAGTGAGGAGTCAGTTGACCGGTTGCGATTTTTTTCTGTTCGAAACATTTACATGAAACTCCACTCGGGACGTCTCGACTGACCCGACTCGAAAATTTCATACTGCACAGTTCAGGAGGTCAAAAGGTCATCAACGAATGATAAACGTCTACAAAACAACTTCTGAGATAGCCATCAGAGAAATTACCATCAAAAATAAATATTCTGGTATGTAATTCCAATTCTATTTGATGATAAATGCTAAATTTGGTGTAAAATTATATGCTATTGTGTCAACTGAGTTCAATAAACATAATTTCAAAGAACGTAGGATGGCAAAATCAATATTTTGTTAATTGTTTAATTTTTTCGTAGCCGAAATGGCAACAATTTCGTGTCTAATCACATGTTGTGTCTCTCTATATATTGATTTTTGACAATTTTCATAACAGCCATCTTGAATTTCAAAATGGATGCCATCATAGCTTTTTGAAATCATGTTTATTGAACTCAGTTGACACAAAACCATATAATTTGACACCAAATTTAGCGTTTTTCACCAAATATAAGTGGACGGGCCTTCGGACCAATGGACCGTCAAACCAAAGACCTTTCGGACCAACGGGCCTTTGGACCAAAGAGCCTTTGGAATAATGGTCCTTCGAACCAAAGACCCTTCGGACCAAAGGTAGGCACCCGTCGGTACGAATGTAGGTAAGAATGGCCCAAGAAAAAATGGCCCCGGAAAAAATGGCCCTGGAAAAAATGGCCCCGGTAAAAATGGCCCCATAAGACAGGTAGGTAAAAATGGCTCCAATGAAAAATTCGGTAATAGAAATGATATATTTTTTTTAAATCTTCAAATATTTAAATACTGTATAAGCAAGAATTGAATCAAGAAATAAAAAATGGCCCTCAGTTATAAAATTCAAGAAAAAAAAATTAATAATAAATAAATAAATTTCTGTCTCTTATACACATCTAGATGTGTATAAGAGACAGATTATTAATATTATTATTATTATTAATGGCTCTGATGGGAGGCTCTAAAACATTGATTCGGCACCAGTTTTGAACGACGAACTTGCAGGGAATGTTATACACCATTTTCGTGAAATTTGAAATAAAATTTTCCAATAACGTGGCGACTACCAACTATGGGGACTTTCAGAGGCCTAGCATTTCGCAGTACGTATTACTGTCATGGATAACATCAACAATAAATCTAAATTGCTAATAAGCACAAACATTTTAAAACGAAAAAAAAACACGAAATGTTTATATTGAAAACAAGTCCAAGTATTAAATTTTTTTAAAGAATTGGAACCTCTGGATGGCCAGAAATGACACTCTCAAGACTGTGACAGGCATGTCACATTTCTATTTTTTTATTCCGACGACCTGTCAAATTGGGGGGGGGGGTCCTGGTGTGGTTTGGGATGTATGTAATTTTGTAATCTAATACACTGTGATTGTGTAAGTGACAACTAAGTACAATTCAATTGGTCAATTTTTTTTTTAAAGATTTTTTATTGGTTGAGAATCTATGCTGTAGCCAATATATAAAAGCCTTCTGTTTTGAAATGCCATATAAACAACATGTCTAAAAGTCCAGGTGTTATTTATCTCTTGTTTATTTGGGAATAATCATCTATTTTATGGAATAAATACAGAGAATAATAATAATAATAATAATAATAATAATATTGGCAATAAATGGTTATAATACTGTAACTTACAAAGCAACTTAAAACAAATATTAACATTACATGCGGTAAAAAAGATGCTGTTAAATTAGTATTAGAAACTTATTAGTAGGAATGCATATATACAGTACAGTAAAATGTGCAATAGTCAGCGAGTTCGTCAAACAAGGTATAAAAAGTCTCGCCTTGGGTAGCATCTTTTTGAAGAAAATAATTAATTTCATTTAAAAAAACAAAAGTTACTGATTGATTAAATAATTCTATGTTAAATAAGAAATGATTATGCGCAGTTAAGGTAACATAGGACAACATTTAAAAGATCATTGTATTAGTGGTACTGAAACTGTTAATTATTTCAAGGATTTATCTAAGTGCAAATCCAAGTTTGATTGCTTAATTAAAGAAATGCTTTGGATCAAAGAACTGAAACCTACACTTAACAAACAAACTGATTCAGTCAAAGCCAAACTGTTTATCTAGTTTATCTGCTAAGAAGGGCTAATTATTGCTTAGCTCCACTGTGGCTCCACACAGTAGGCCCTATTGATATGTAAATTAATTACTTACTTCCTGTCACTGCTTGGTATTTTTGTTTTTAGTTTTTTCAATTTACTTGATCTTGAGAATGGTTCCATGATGGACCCGAAACGTCGATCTTTCTCGTCATTAAATTTCATTATGTAAAAATAGTTATGCTTTAACATAGATTAAAAATATGTTACGCCTTACTTATTTTTAATCTATGGTCTTTTTAATTAATTTTCTTTCTTTTTATTGGAAATTCCGTAGTGCAGAGAAAATTTATCAAAACCCATTAGGTTTACAGTAATATGAAAAAAAATTTAGTTTATACAGAAATAGTATCTAAAATGATCTCAATTTCCAAAGTTAAAGCAAAAGATCTAATCTAAACACACAATATTAGGCAGGATGTATTTTTTTGGAAAAGAACCCACTCTTTTGTGAAATTAAGAGGGTATCTTTGAATATTTTATCATTGAATGTTAATTCTTGCAAAAAGTAAAATGTAAATGGCAATTTGTTTGATGTTAGATTCCTTTTAAAAACTAAATTATTTAAGACAAAAAAATGCATATATTGAATCAAGAAAATCAGTTTTAATACTTTTTCCGGGGCCATTTTTTCCGGGGCCATTTTTTCCGGGGCCATTCTTACCGTACACCCGTCGGTACACGTCCCGCATGAATTTCCGTCATGGCTTGCATGAATTGCATTCCTCGCTGGATGACTCGCTGACTCGCTGGCTCGCACTTTGGCAACCCTTTTTTGGAAGGCCGCTTTCAGGGGAAAGCACAAAGAGGAAGAAAAGTGCGCTTCTGTATCAAATGAAACAGGGTGACAGTTATTTTCAAATTACGAGAAAAGCTGAGAATAGGCAGCTCTAAAATACTGAATGCCATAAGACCTGCTAAAAATATGGCAGAGCACCAATGAATGTATAAATGAGGCCTATTAATTATAGGCCTAGTAATAGTATCTTGATTACAAGGTTTTTGATTAATGCCGAAATGATTATTATTTATTATTATTATTATTATTATTATTATTATTATTATTATTATTATTATTATTATTATTATTATTATTATTATTATTATTATTATTATTAATTATTATGTTACTGAAACCTACTTTAAATATAATTTAGACAATGGAGAAATTATGGGAAAATAACACAAAAGAGATTCCCCCGGGCCTGGTTATTAATTATAGGCCTAGTAGGTTCTTGATTACAAGGCTTAGAGCAATTTAATTAATGCCGAAATGATTATGTTTTATTATTATTATTATCATTATTATTATTATTATTATTATTATTATTATTATTATTATTATTTCATATTAATTAAATTACAAGTTCATTAATGCTGGAATGATATATTTAATTTATTATTATTCAATAATATTTCTCTTATGCACTTTTTTTTATTTCATGCTTCAATTTTTTTTTCCCAAAATTTTAATCAACGTCATATGAAGCGTGACTGTTGGTATCAGGCCTAGGACCTTATATAGAGAGGGGCCTAGCTAAGAATTACCTCAGCCTGTAGGTAGGCCTATTATATAGTTTATCCTCTTTTTCTCTAGCCTTTGGTATTACTGTACCTCTACGACTAGTACTACACTTATAGAACTAGCTGTTGTTATTGTACATATTATACTAGCATTTAATAACATACAAGAATGTCACAGTTAGTTACACACGTACATCCCATGAATCCGTAAGTTTAGGCCTACCATAGGTAAACATATAGAAAAAGAGCAATAATAGTAAAACTCGAGCGTTACGACATTGTAAGGCGTCTGCTCTTGTTCCTCGTATCGAACTCGATTCGAGTCAATCCGAGATGGCCCGATTGAAGTTTCATGCAAATGTTTCATACGGGAAAAAAATCGCTGACCAGTTCCACCGCTGTGAGCAGTTCGCTGAAATACTTACTATATTGCTTGTAGCAGTACTACCATCTGTAAATTTGTATATAGGATCTGTGTGTAAATAATACTGTACCGTACCTTGCATTTTTAACTAACATCACAACTTCATGGGTTATACACCAAGCTTAGGAAGTTCATTTAACTTAAGGTCATTTGCCTTAATTCAAGTGACCACACATCATTTGGGAATGTTGATGAGTTTCCCAGGTACTAGACAAGGACAGGCAATTACTAATCCTTATTGGTCAGATGGTATTAAAGGTGATGCTATATCACATACATTTGTACTTTTACAGACACTCCTCAGTTTGTCCTCCCTGAGTACACATTACTTTCGTTTTCTATCAATTTGTATATATCATCAACTTGTTTCTCAAGTGTTTTTGTAAATACGCTTTTCACTTGGAATAAATTGTACAGTTCTACATATAAATTAGTGTGGTGTATTTTTATCATCTCATCGTACACTTACACTAAAATACATTGGGATTAATGACAGTAATGGTGAGGAAGTTTCAGACAACATGGGAGAATTGTCTATTTGAATTGCAGGGGTGAATTTAGAGTGGGTGAGCCGGCCCCGGTCTCTGTCCTCTTTTTGGGAAGTAAAAGGAAAAAAATGAAATAAAGAAATTATTGATTGCCCAAAAAAGAGATTGTTTCCTGGAGTCTAGAAAACAAAAATTCAAGGACCCCTTAGGAT